CAGCTAATCGCAAGCACATCGTGAGGAGTAGTTGGACGTGCTTGCGATTAGCTGTGCATGTAGCTTCCCCTGAGGTTGGGGCAACATTCCACGGCGCAAAGACACGCACGCACTTGCTCAGGTAGATGTTCACTTCTTTGGATGCACCACTAGTGACGACCAAATCAATTGGCTGCATCACGTGCCACACAGAAAAATATAGTACCGATTCTCACTATCAGAGAAGTAATGGAGATGTATGGTGATCGAGTCAGTCTGACAGCGATCAAAAAACCCATGAAATTTCTATCCGATCTGCGGCCTCTCAACTATCTACTGGCGCACAAGGCACGCAAGTCCAATTTGTGCAGCAACACAGGGGTAGCGCAATTGCTTTTCTTTGGAAATTTAATGCTAGCGGAGCCGCTTCAATTTAAGCTAACCTAATAGCGGAATAGTCACCACCGGATAATTAGATTAAAGCAGGGATTCTATTATAAGACAAGAGCACCTAATGGTGATATGCCAATGCTGAATAATGGGCAAGCATACCGTCTTTTTAACCACAAAGATGTAAGCTTCTACTCGGTGTCGATTGGTTATGAGCCGAAAGATAAATCCTCCAGTAAATCAACAGAATTGTAAAATGCGGGAAAAATTATCTTGCTGCCAATGGTGATGTGCGGAGCGAAATATTTGGCGGCGCTCTACAATTTCATCTGACTGGCAGCTACCAGTAATCCTTACTAGTTTTGTCCATCCCAGGAAAGGTGCGATCAGGGCAGAAAAGCACCACAATATACACAGGAATTTGCGTTCAATAAAGGCCTAGTGTGATGCTCAAAAGGTAAAATTGGTCAACTGTTTGCAATCTATTTGGACAGCTATAGTTTGGAATGAGCCGATATTCGGAAATCGGAAAAAACTGAGGTTTCTCAAAAACACAAATGCTTCAAAAATGTGTTCTGTCACAATAAGAGGGAAAAGGATGACACTGACGGGAGCTCGCATTAGGATACGACCATTAAGTATCGTTGAACAAAACTCTAATGCCACGTTCCGTATATTTTGACGGAAAAATAGATTAACAACAAAACTGCCTAATTTGAAAGAACAACATCGATAATAGGCTGTATGCGAAAGGCTGGAAAATAATTTCTGGAAGTGTAGGAATTTCATTCAGTCACTCATCAACTACTGACTAATTAATTTTTTTCAAAGTTCAGTTTTACGTCAAAGTAGCAAGACTGAGAAGTATCTAAATCAAATCTAAATCCTCGTACTGGTTCCTCCAGGTTAACTCATTTCGAAATAGCTCCCTGAGATGAAAACGATTTTTCAGTAGAAATACTCCTCTGAATAAAAGAGAATAATTGCATTTTGCTAGTAGGTGCACGCCATGTTGTATCCATGACGAATTGCGAAACAAAACGTACACACTGGAACTGATGTCCAAAAATATTCTGCGAAATAACTCTCAGATCTCTGCGGGGGAGTAATAATCATTCCCGATTGACTTTTTCATCCCTCCAGCATCTTGGGAAAGCTGAATAATCTACCTGGAAAAATTGCGGTTGGAAATTTCTCCAAGCATAACTAGTTGAGTCTCTCATTACCATTATGCTGCTATCGGAAGAGTTTGTGCGAAAGTTCCATTCTGGACCAAGATTTGACTGGCGACGCCGGGTCTGGTATACACTCAGTACGAAATACAATGAAGATTTGGAAAGAGCTCTGGTAGTTTGGGACATTGTGTCATACTATAAATCTAGTCCCTACTCAGACAAAATTCACCTGTGGAACAATCAGATGATGGTCTCAGTTTGTGGAGAGCCAGTCTCGTGCAT